CCTGAGTCATATTCTTTCTTCTACCTGATATTTCCATCAAATCATTCACCTGCCTGTGCCATCCTCTCCTGGAGTTGTTCTGCAGACATAGTCCCTTCCCTGGACAGCAAGCAGAGATGGGTCAGCTTTCTCCAGAGTAATTTGCTGCAGGGAGTCATACAGGCAGCTGAAGTGCTCTTGCTCTGCTCATACTCCAGAGCAACCACACAAGCAGAGCAAACACAAAGATGTGCTTTGAGGTTGTCCTTGGGTCTGCAAAAAGTACTTTTCATTCTTCATTCTTCTCTCCTTGATGCTAGAGTCTCCACAGTTCCACCATGCATAGCTACTTCCTCCAAGCCCAAAGCATTACAGGCCCTCCTCAACACTGTTCCAACCCTACTGATTTAAGAGAAATACTCAAGGCCATAATTGGTCAGTAGATGAGGGAACTCAGCAGATTCATTGCCAGAATAATTTAGTGCTGATGTGGCAAGATTTTTCAGCTGTAACTGTTAGAAGGGATTTCTCACCTGTGTTGCATTACGAGTTTAATACCACCAGTGTGTGTGTGTGTGTGTGAGAACACCTCATGGAGCAGGACCATTTCATGGTTTAACATTTAGTGTAATGGGGTCCAATAAAATCATGTTAAAAGATGTTAATGTTGCAAAGAAAAACATCAGAAGCAAGGAAATGCCAGAATTAATATGGCCTGTGGAAATTCAGCCTCTTACGCATTATGGTGCAGATCTTATTACCTGACATCCTAGGCTTTCCAGGGGGTGTCTCTTTTTTTTTCAGGGAATGCATAGTTAGATTTTTCTTTTAATGTTCCTCACTCTATCTTGGTTAACATGAAGCATTCAAAGCTCAATTAATATAAAATCCTTCATCATGTAAATATTTATCATATTACACTTCTTTGCTGACTAATAAATGTATCTCTTTTTCGCTGTGACCTCAAATTATCAGGCACTTTGAACAGTGTTCATATTTGAATTCTGATGAACCAAGTCAGAGGAGAAGGTAGAAATTGTATATAACTATGAGTATTTTTAACAAAAGTTTAAGCAAAATGGGACTTTTAAATGGGATTTTTTAAATAAATGTAACATTTATACACAGTCTCCTAAATTCAAAGTGTAGTTTCACAGCTTGGATCCTTTTAGGATTAGGTCTTCAGTACAGCTGCAGTAAGCAGAACTAGTCCATTGCTCTGGGCAGACTCCTCACTAATGACTTTTGTAATGAGTTTCACAGGTATCTCATGAAGCTTAGGCTTGTGTTTGTGGTGTTAGTCCCAAAGCTAGAAGAGAGGGGAACAAACTGTGGTGTTCCATCTCAGCCAGTCCCAAAATTCTTCTGCTGTCCACATCACACCCCTACATCTGTCACGTTCTTTTCACTTTGCTTCTGCTCTCCTCTAGTTTTGCCGCTGTGGAGATCCCACTCTTCTTTTGTCCCCTGATTTCTGTTCTCTTTCCTTGTTGTATTTTTTCTGGCTTTCCTCCCTTCATTTGAGTCTAGAGAGTTGTTTTTTTCTTTCAGGGTACTGCCTGGGTACCCTGTACCCTGGGTACTGCACAGTGGGAGATGGAACTGACAAAGCAAGGGGGGACAATTTTGATAATGTCAAATTTCCTGATGGCATGGGGTTCTCCTGGCACTCAGAAGTAATCCTAAAGTGTGTTCAGCACCAGCATTTTTGAGATGAGGAGTATTCAATGCAGATAGGATCTTCAGAAATTCAGGAGCCAGACTGCAAGAGGACTTCACCAACAGTGTGACAACAGGCCTTTTAGCATTCTACAAACTGAAATAAACGTGGGCACTATTTCACAGAAATTATAATTCCTGGGTATTGGTGACTCTCCCCCTCCCCTTTCAGTTTTGGGATTTTGCCTCCAGTTTTCAGGCACTGAAGCCAATCAGCAGCAAAACGACGTGACATTCAAAACATGAGCACAACAGCCTGTTCTCACAAATATTTGTATTTAAAAGTTTTTAGCGGAAACTTTTCAAACATTTTGTAGCAGGCAACCAGAGTAGAAAAGTTCAGTGCAGTTCAACAGCATTCAAACTGAAACTGGAATCTTACTCTTGTGAATGATTCTCAACGTGCATTTAACTAAAATGGTGAGAAAACCTGTGTAAACAGAGAGGGGGAAAAGGAAAACAGAGCAGGAGTAAAGAAAAAGATTCTTTTTATAGCATTTAACACATGAGAATGTAAATAAATGTGGTGTTAGTGAAAGTTAATTATTTTGAAAACAGTCAGCAAGGCAGATTAAGAGGTAAAACAGTGCAGCTGAAGACAAAGGAAACAATATTTAGTCTTTGATCATACATTTTCACAGTGATTTTCTGTTCACCTTCAAGGGTGGCATAATTTTATGAATAACAGAATTTGTTTTGCTACTTGAGTAGCCTTAAAAAGAAATGTTGTTCATTCCATATGGCCACTTGAAAGAAAATCCCATGCCTCTTCGTCCTTTAAGAAATAACATTTTTATTTATTGAATCTCTTTTCTCAAAGAGGGACCCTAAAGATACACAATAAAGTTTACATTTAGTCTTAGAGGAAGAGCCAAATCTATACTCTGTGCTTCTATACATTTCTTCAGATAATGATCATAGATGAACTGCATCATCTGTATGCCAACCAGCAAACCTGAAATATTCTTTTTAAAGTATTTTAAAGTATTTTGCTTTTATTGCAATATTCTTAAATAAAAAATACTCACTTTTTTCCTCTCCAAGTTTGTTTCATCACACAGGAAGTGAGTCACTTTGATACAATTGGTCAGTGGCTTTTCTTCTGTGACCTTTCAACTTTTATCAAAATTTTTCAGTTGGGTTTTTGTTGGTGGTTTTTTGTTGGTTTTTTTTTTTAATGTTTAATATTAATTTAATGTTTAATGTTAATTTATACAGGTAAAGCATGATCTTTCAGATATTTCGATTGCTTTGTAATGCCGGTCAAAACAAAATGCAGTAGTAGTGTGAGCTGTGGTAGGAAAACTCATCTGTGAGTATCCAACTACTGCATCTCACATCTCTGGCCAGGAAAACCAGGGGTCTTAATACATTCTGTATATTAAAAGTGCTCAGATTATGCTAATGTGTGCTGGCATTATCTCTGGGCTTCTGTAGTAGTTGCCCACCACAGGACATGCCATCACTTTGTAAAATCTGTGTGTTGGGAGGTCTGGGTGACAGACTCTCCAGTAGCTGGTTCAACTGGTTAAAAGTGGTTGAACTTTCCTGACCTGGGGAGTGAGATCTGAGCCCCAGTGCAAATGTGACAGACAGTGCTACTGGTGGCAACCACAGAACAACAAAGAAATTGGAAAGGAATGTATGAATGCCAGTAAATTTAAGAGCAAGGAGATAGCAAAAATATGCTGAAGGGACATGGGAAAAGCAGCTCTGCTACCATTTATACTATACAGGTAGTAGACATACACTTGTTTTTCTAACTAATTTTAATTATGTATTTAATTAATTATGTATTTAATTTAATTATGTGTTATTGTATTTTATAGCTCTAACTAAGTTACATTTTCAATAAGTTTAAATTATGTTTTATATGTGAAATGGATTTATTTTTTTTTTTGGTCAAATCCTCTGTAACTCAGTTGAGACAAACTGCTCCTGAATAACGCACACAAAGGCATTTTTCATGGTAGATGGTCATGTGCTTATATATCTGAAGCATTTTATTTTATTTCAGATGTTACGCTACTTTAAAAAACAATGTGGTTAACATAAAACTATAGCACTGATGTTTGCACCTGAATGTTTATGAAACAGTGCCTGTCAAGTTTGGGTTTGTATGAGCCCTGACTGTGCCTCATGCTCTGTGAGTGGCTCATCTCTATGAGTGACATTGCATGGCATTCAGCTGAGGGATTTTATATACATATATATAATATTTAGCATTAGTCTAATCCTTTTTTTCTGTTGGGCCTGGTGAGTGTTTTGTCATTTGTCCATAACTTCAATAGAAGTGAGTCAAAGTTACAATTTTATTTCCTCTGAAATACTTTTAAAGTAACAAAATAGTATAGGAGAGTTTCTTGATGCAAGGTATCCTGAAACTCGTCGTTGAACTTACTGGTTGTAAAGGGAATGTATTTTTTATTGTGTCTCACTCCAAGTGAGCCTCAGTGAGTGATATTTCTAGGTGGCTTTAAAACTGGAGCTTTGAAACCTCCCACAGAGCCCTGGATTTTGCATTAGCAAGCTAGTGAGTAAAATGTTTTTTCCTCTGCTGAAAATGCAAGTAATTTAGATTACCAGAAGGTACAATTAAATTTTTTGCTGGAAATCATGAAGATCCCAAGGAGATACCAAGTCTGCAAGAGAACAGTTTTATATATTTTTTTTTTTACAGTGATGGATTTTACGACCTCCAATCAGCCTACAGCATTGTGGAGATCAAATTGGAAGCTAACATTCCTTTGACCTACTTATATATTTTAAATATGAGTGAAAACAGTGCACGTGTTCATTGATGCAATAGGAAAATACAGTTAACATACAGTTAGCAGATTCACAAAATTAAAAATACCATATGAATTATTTAACTAACGGGGCGCTTTGCCCCAGAACCTGGTGTTTATTATTTTGAGCTTTAGCAGGAAACAGAAGCAGTATCAGTTTGGGAAACGTTTCTTGGCCAAGCTGAGAACAGTATGGCTTTCTCATTTCAAAGTGGGGAACCTGGTTCTTTGGTTTCTTTGTTCCTGGTTAAGACTACTCCCCAAGCTATTTTAGCTGAACATTTTACCTACTAATGGAGCCTGGGGAAGTGCAGTTGGCAGCTGTTCATGGGATAATAATGAAACACACTGTTTAGTACTGCAAACCGCTGCTGTAAAGTGCGGGAAATATTTTATAGAGATCACGGTGAGCAGAGCAGTACCCGCTTTAAGTTCTGCTGTAAGTGCGTGAACGGGGAGCAACAGGAAGTGGTGTTTCAAGTGAGAGTAACCAGCACTGCTTTGCTTTTGCAGGTAAAGAAGCCGTGTCCAGAGTCCGATGGTTCAGAGCCGCAGAATCCCAGGTACGGTACTGGGGAGCCGACACCGACTGGCTGTGGCGTGGTGGTGGAGAGCGAAGCTGAGCTGTGCTGTGGATTTGTAGCATCAGAGCCCCAGAGTCACATTTTGCAAAGAACAACTGGTTGGATCGGGTGTAATGGTTTTCACTCTGGAAAAGGTGGTTTTTTTCCCCTTTTCCCAGTCAAAGATGCAGCCTAGGGTCCGGGTTGTTGAGTTTAGATGATGCCGTAACACTGAACTGTCACATTCAATTAAATTGTCACCTTCAATTAAAAAAACAACATCCCAACTATTAAATAGTGTAGGGAAACCTGTGTGATCAGACCTCATTTTCTTCAGTTATCCATTTTCTGCATAAGTGAGTCTTGTAGTTTACTGAAAATATGGTTTATTTCCAGTGTGAAAAACTAATTATTTATTTGGGAAAACTTGCCCTTATCAAAAATACTTATGTTTTCACATGTGAAAAGCATGCTGTGTTCATCAGCTGGGAAGAAGCCATACATTCATTTCCAGCATAGTATCTTGTAATTTCATGTACATGGGGAAAAGGTAAATGGATTTAACTTCTATGTTTCACACATGTATGTATGTGTATGGATAATTTTGAGCTAGTGAAGTAGTAGCTGTTTTAGATGCACATCTTCCTGGTGGTTAGTAAACTGGTGGATAGTTGTCTTCAATTTTTAGTGAGTGCTTTTTGTCTTTGTCTTGCTTCTGTATAGAAAACTATTTCAGTGTCATAAAAACTCAGAAGCTTTTATTGTGAGGGGAGAGCCACAAAATAAACCTGATGTTTCAGTAACGTTGTCACTAAAAACTCAGAAAAGTTAAATAATTCAAAGTTTGGCCCCCAAACCCATCCTTACTATGTTTCTTAATTATTGCAGCAGGAACCTCTCAGGGTCACCTGCAATATCCGAAATTGTTACCATTATCTGTGGCTTGAGCTGCACTGTGCACCATCTGAATTTCTCTGATTAACTCATGTCTGTTATTAATATGTTTTTTCATTTAGTTTGCTAAGAACTGAAAAGGGAAAAGAAAGTTCTCTTGTCCAAGTATACTTTCAGTGTAGTCAGTAGCAGTTTTGACCTGGACTTCAGTGGAAACATGTTTTGCCCTTCAGTACTTGTAACTTCTAAATGAGAAAATTATCTGCTGTGCTGCTGCTTTGGATTAAAATTTATTATAAAGTTCAAATTCTTTCTGAGTATTTTGACACCACGGAGAATCCTAACTTAGCATAACACTCATATACAAGTGTGTAGTTTTAAGTGTCATGATTGCCCAAATGAGACTATTGTATCTCAGCCTTTAAAAACAATGAATTCCAGTCTGATGTAATTTCATAAAAATGTGATAAAAACAAATTGCAACAAACCTGAGGACCCAGAGTGCAATGTACTGTTACTATCTTTGCACATCAGGAAATTTCTTACTAGCTGTAGTTAAATTCTTCATGCTGAGTCTGAGGAGTCTTTTGTTTTTCTCCTGAGCATGCAAGAGAGCCCATGTTGCAAATAGTCAGTCAGGTAGTTTCATTTTTTGAAGAGCATTTTAAAACAGAAACACTTCTCATTTTGAGCTCTGCAGCCTCAGTTGGAGAGTTAGTGGTGTTGAAATTAGCCTGAGCATATGCAATGCTGTGTATACAGCCTGAAGTGGGATTTTTTGGTTACAATATGACTTTTGGTCTTGGAGGGGAATCTCTTACAGAACTCAGTCTGGAACAGCGCTAGAGGGCTCTGTGTGGCACATCACACTTTAGAGCCTGGAGCAAGGTAATTCTTCTCTAAACAAGGCTTAAGTGAAAACACTGCACATAAAATGAAACATCAGCATAAAAATGAATGCTGGAGACACACAGCCTTACAGAATAGCTCCTGGCTTGGGACCTAAGGCCAATATCATTCATTTATTTAGCTAGCTTTATAGTCTGTTAGTTTTGGATTTGAAACTATTACAATAAATGCAGATGGAAAGTGTTTTTACAGTAGGGAAGTAATTAAATTGGGTGTGGGAACTTTGTCAGGAGAATTTTTGGAGTGACATGTGTGTATCAGCAGATTCTTTGTCTTGCTTGGCCTGGGTTTGTCTTTTAGAAAGAAACATTCAAACTGCAGATGTGACTACTAAATTTTTTTAAGGAATGTACTAACCTATGCAGCATATAAAAAAAATGCTTTTCAGAAGTGACCAGCTATACATACAGTAAAAATCAGCTTGCCAGCATTTATTTAAAGTGATTGTTGTCTCAACAAACAGGTAAATTGCACAGAAGGAGAGGGATCTGTAGTTATGAATTAAAGTTATGGTGAACAGCACAAAAGGAAACATATGACTCTTCAATGTCACTGACAGACATTTTGATTCACAAACTTTGTCTTACAAATTCTGTCATAGTTTCTTGGGAGTTTCTTTTTATCAGATCCCTGTGAAGGGGTTGTGAATACTTCCTTTTATACCTAGATGATAGTATCGTACCTTACAGTGGTGGTATTGTGGCTGTACCAATATTATTTCTTCATAATTTATAGTAAAATATAGTAAAAATTATATTTACCCTGCAAGCCTGGGTAGTTGTCCAGTCATGCAGAATGCTTTCTTGGAGTGCTGGTGTGTGACAGAGAAGCAGTGAATACTTGGGACTTGCCAGCTGTTCCACCACAAGTCTGGAGCAGGCAGGAGCAGCGTGGTGGACAACTCTGACATTCTGGCTCTGTATCAAATTCACTAGCAAGGTATGGGAGAGAAGTTCCTGTGTTCAGAGCCTACAAACATGCATTGCTCTTAATTTTCATACATGACAGGTATCTTCAAAATGTTATCAATCCCCAGTGTGCTGAAGAGCTCCCACGTGAAATTTAATGTCATACAAGAATTGCTGAAGTCTAGTGCAGTGCTTGAAAGTTAACTTGTTTGCACTTATTAACAACCTTCCTTCTTACTTAAATAAGAAAAAGGCCATTTTAATTCTAATAAGGAAGAATTTTGTTGCTCTGAAACCCGTAGGCTACACTTAAAACCTCATACCATGTGACCTGTGGAAATGCTAGAAAATGTGTGATTCTGAAGTCTGGTAAAATGATAAATCAGAAGTCCCAGGTTCCTACTCATATCCAGCAACAGCATGTTCTATTTGGCCACACATCCCAGGGCAGCATCTTTCTTTGAGATAGCAGTCTGCTTGATGAATGCATCTCTCCTACCCCCAAATTCTCCTTCTCATACCACCAGGCCTGCCAGTGATTCCACTGTAAGACCAAAATCATGTCGGCAACATAGGTAGGAGAGCAATTATTGCTTTTTCTGGGCTATAAAATGAAATAGGGAGGAAAGAACTGAAATGAGGAAGAAGAAGTCACTGCAAATGGAAATTCAGCAGGGTCTTCTACTGCTTTCACAAAGTTCACTGATTATAGGAAAAAAAAATCATGTTCTTTTTGCCGTCTGGAGAGGATGGAAGACTGCAGCAGGATGAAGAGATTTTTCTGACAGTTTTAACACAGTTTCTTTTTTTCCTGCAAGGGTAAAGGAAAATGGCTAAATATTTAATATAATTTCCCTCTTTAAACTCTGATATTTATGTTGTGATGAAGCTATCTATAGGAAGAAAGGGAAGTCTTGAAGGTTTTGATGAGTAGTTTTGTAAATTAGGGATGAAAGTTAGCTGACAAATCAATTTAGGATTACTTAGGATACATAGTGTCAAAAATACATTACTTGTGTATTTGCTGAAGGGCAGTCTTTCTATTAGTAAGTTAAAATTAAGCCCTGTTGAGCAAGAAACCCTCCATTTTATTTCATGATTTTTACTACAAACCTGTGGATCCAATATTTCCTGTAATATCCATTCTTCCTGACTTTTCCTTTATATACTTTCTAAAAAAAATTTCTAAAAGTAAAGGAAAAGGAAATGGAGCCAGTCTTAAATAAATCCTCCCATTTAAAACTTTATCAGATGCTGTAAGAAGAGTGTATGTCAGGGGCACTACAGCTACTTCATTGATACCAGTTAGATGGGGTTCATCCCTATGTGTTACCAAACTAAAAATTAACTGGTGATGATCACTGGTAAATATTAAATCATATGCACAGATCAAGTTGCCAGATAAAGCAGTTATCCAAAAAAGCACACAGAGATTTTTATGTGTTTAAAAGGCCTCAAGTATTTCAACTTAATATGGGTTTCAGTGAGGTTCTTAGCATAGATTGCAGCTGTTCATCAGATGATTGCTGTTCTGTTCTTCAACACCCACACTTCCATGTGCACCACAAAGTAAGATTTAAAAGATATGAATTCCTGTTTCTGTTTCATCTTAAAAGTCTCTCTTAAAACTTTTGAATGAGAAGTAAGCTTTCACATTTTCTCACTGGTCTCATTTTGATACCTACTCATGGTTTTTCATTGGTCAGGATACAGAGTGCACATACACATGCAGAGACAATTAGTCATTAATGCATTCACAAGTAAATGAATGGTACTGCATGTCAGTGAGAGCTGCCACAGTTTTCCCATTCACTTCACTTGACCAAAATTTGTTTCCTCTGCAGTTTGGGCACACTGTTGTGGATGCAATGTTCACTAAGTTCACTGTATCTGAGCTATGCTAATGCTGCATGTATGCTTTACCAGTGTTTCCATGACCATTCATACTTAAAAAAAAATAAAAATAAAAGTAACATGTATCTTCTGTATCTTATTCCAGACATCTAGTTTATCATGTTTCATTCTCATCAGTTTCATTTCATTCTCATCAGTTCCAATGATGAATATATATATATACACTATAATACAACTGAGATTTCTTCCACCAACTAATTCCCTCAACAAGACCATAACAGTCTTATCTCAGAATGATCACAGTGATGGTTCATTCTTTCAGTCAGGCATTGGCTGGCCGATATTTACCAGATCTAACACTGTAACTCCTGAGCCCAAATCCAAGCTTTGCAGGCATATCGTAGATTCTGTGAAGAAGCTTTCATGCCTTTTCCA